GGCAACAAGAAGCAATCTTTTGAACCTTCAGAAAAATATCTACCCAGCCTTGATCTCCTCATAAGATTATATTTCAAAAATATAGTCTTATACATTTAAGTTATATCCCAATGTAATACAGACGTGGCACCCTGTCCTGCCTAGGAATGACTAAATATAGTGAACGACACTAGGAGTTGGACTGTCTGGGTTGGGAGAGTTCACAGTTCTCATAATTTGTACAAGTGGAAAAAGTCAGGTATATTCATTCCTTTATTAACATCCATCAGTCCTCAGTTTCTACACCTATGAAATGGGAGCATTGACTTGGGTTGTCTCCTACTTCGTTTTTCTTCTGCACAGGTCTTTCTTTACCTAATTCAGTTCCACACAGAACAGTAGACAGTGCTGTCCAGGAGTAAAGACCTAAATTGTAGACAAAATCTTTGCAAAATATGTGATGGTGCCATTGTTATTAAAAATACTGCAAGACCTATTGTGTAAATAATAGCCACAGTGCTCAGGTGCCCCATGTGCAACAGTTCAGAACTGTCATTAAGGTTATGTTGTAGTTCCAGAAAATAAATGAATGGATAAATCAATAAACAAACAACGAAATTGAAGGTCTCTTCATCTTCAGCAAAACTATTCCCACATCAGTTAATCTGGAACTGAATGTCACCTTGAATCCTTCCAGGCCTGGCAGGGCCCCATGCGAGGGGATGGTTTGCATTCCATTGAGAAAAGCAGCTTTAGGTACTAGAGAAACAGCCATCTTAGAGCGGAGATCACATTCTGTGTGAGCTCAGGTGATGCAGGTGAGACAAGAGTCAGCTGATGGAAAGCTCAAACGCCCTGCTCATCCCTCATCGGTAGGAAATGCCAATTTGTGTAACCAAACAAATCACCTTTATATGCCATGAAACTATGATTTGCGTTGAGCCAGTCAGGACTTAGAGATCAACTCCAATACTCAATTCTTATCCAAGAGTTAAAGACCATGACCTTCGACTTGAAGCCATGAAAAAAAAGTGGGGGCCTCTCTACTACACCTAAGAGCTCTGTGATGGGGGGGCCTCTCTACTACACCTAAGAGCTCTGTGATGGGGGCCTCTCTACTACACCTAAGAGCTCTGTGATGAGGGGGGTCTCTCTACTATCTCCTGAGGACTCTGTGATGGGGTGGTGTTCTCTCTACTGTACCCCAAGGGCTCTATCATTTGGGCAGATAAAATTCTTTGCAGAATCGTGTTTCCTCCTCAGTAAATGAGGTTAAAATTCCCAACTTTGTGCCACAAAGAATGTTCACGGACAATTTCTCATAGTGTTCAACACCTTCAGGGCATGTGGTCCAAACGGCGCTTTATGGGATTGCAGTCTGTAGTAAAAACACTAAACACAGTGCAAACCATTCATCACCTTTCTCCTACTTCATTTCAGTAGCTACTTGAGCCTGAATGCTTATGATGTCCACTCAAGGAGATCTCAGAGCTGGGGTGCAGATGCACACAGAGGAGAGCTGTAACAGGGAGGACATAGTCATGAGACCATAAGCTTGGGAGAGTTAAGAAAGGGGGTGTCATCCTTGAAAGAAAGAGAAGGAGGAGGCCATACCAACAAGAACCACGGTGGACATTCTTAAGGAGGGCTGGAGATCTTTTGCCGTGTGTTGTGTGCCCCATATGCCAGCCTTCCAAATGGCTTAATTAAAGCTCTGTGTGACCTATGACAATTCTGCCACTGTAATTCTACTTCCTTTTTATATCACAGTGCTGAAATCATGTCTTAAAGGTGAGGTAGTCAGGCCCAGATAAGTTTTGATTACATGTACTTAGAGAAAGCACATTAAAAATGAAGGATAATTGAATAGTATTGTAAAATTATATATATATATATATATATATATATATATATATATATATATATATATATATCTGCTCAATCTTGAAAACATAAAAAAAATGAAGGATAATACACACACACACACACAATCATAAAATCAAAGTGCAACATTTTTATACAGTCTCTCACTTCCAAAACATCTTCTCATGTTCAAAGCAATTGCACATGTTAAGAAAACATAGAGCTTGTTTCTCCCTCAGAATCGAATATTGAATATGGAGGCCATTGTTCTAAGCAAGTTGTGGTTGTTCTCACTGCAGTTTTATTTATTTATTTATTTATTTATTTATTTATTTGTTTATTTAGGAGTTTTTCTTACTTGAAGTCAATCATGGTTTGAAATAGTACATGTAAGATTCTACAAGTAAGCAATTCATAAATTCTTCTGAAAAGCATGATGAAGTCATACACCACTATGATCATCCTAGAAATGATCATCACTTTATTCTGTGTATCCACACTATCTACTCAGTAGTCACTCAGTATCAATCTCAGATATCAGATTGACTGCATTGGTATCACAACATGCAATATCTATTTCCTCAAGTTGAAGCATTCCTTCTTGAAGGGAATAGGGTGACTTATAGGGAGCTAATGAAACTCACAAAACTTAGAAAGATCATAAAACTTACAAGACATAGGAGTCTTCCAAAGAATGCCAAAGGCAGCATATCTCCTTCTCCAGAAATAAGCAGCATTGCTATAATGTTCTCTAGGAAAAGCAACTTAGCTAACCCACAAGACAATTATTCCAAAATATTAATTAAAAATATTTCCAAGGAACTCAAAGAGGATATGAATAAATCCTTGAATGAGAACAGTGAAATCATAAACAGCTGAATGAAAAGAATTTAAGATATAAAGATGGTATTTGATAAAGAGATAACATCTCTGAAGAAAAGCCAAACTGAGATGAAATTTGAAATGAAAAACTCACTCAGGAAGTAAGTAAAACAAAAAGCTCAGAGGAAAGTCTCACCAAAAGATTGGATCAAGGGGAAGAGATAGCAGGTATTGTCTTGAAGACAAGTTGAAGATAAATCACCCCAAAAAAGAAAATGTTAAATATAAAAAAACTACTGGGACGAAACATTCAGGAAGTCTGGGATACTAGAAAACGGCCAAATCCATGAGTAATCAAAGGAGGAGGAAGAAGATGACAATCCAGGTCAAGGCAAAGAAAATACTGTGTAACCCTCACCTATCATCAAGGAAGCTTCTTTTTGAAGCAGACAGAGAATTTAACAGAAAAGCTACAATTGACCAAAATACAGAGAACAAATGACCCAGCAGCAACTGATGCATCTCAAATACATCACCTACACCCACGGTTCAGGGAGCGCTGCAGAACTTGGGAGTTGGGCAGATTGTAAGAGCCGGAATGTCTGCTGTGAGAGTATGTCATCCATATATGACAAGGATGCTGTACACATGATGAATTTGAGAGCATAGATTAATACCCAAAGGTCAGACAGGTCACGTGGGTCAGTGCATAGATCATTGTTGCATCTCCAGGAATGAACAGGAGGAACTGAGGTCCTGGGTAAGGGGCTTTACTAATCATCTTGTGAAAACCCTCCTGGAACAGCCAAACCAACACATTCTGAAACCCGGCACAGATTTCTTTCTCTTTCTAGCCATGCAAAAACTTGAACAGATACTCAGTGTGGTGTCTTATTCCTTTCAGAGCCTTGGTTTTTCTCTCTAGAAATTCAGATGTAAATCTAAGCCGAGGAAGTTTGAATATAGGCAAGCATGCTCTGGTCTCTGGCCCTGGGACAGAGAAGACAAGACAGCGGTTAGGTGGCTGAAAGAGCAGCTAATTAATAGATCAAGAGACTCCTCAGACCCCAGTATGATAGACGTCTGTGAAGGAAAAAGAGTACACAATAATACAGTGCCAACTGCTCCTGATATCACAGGAAATGGCACCACTGTCTAGACCAAGATGAGGCTGCCAGTGCTCCCAGTACTCAGGGGGCCATATTGGGTGCCATCATCCTGGGCCAGCAATGTTCAATGTGTAGGATCCTTTTGTCTAAGCTCCAATGAAGACTGCAAAAATGGCAATATATAGTCCAGAGCCAGCTTGAACATCTCCAACAGGACAAATGGAAAATGGTCTTTGGATGATCAAGGACTAAAATAAAATAGAGTTGACAATGATTTGAAACACCAGAGTTGGAAAAAAAAACAACCAAATTGGGTCATCACTGAATACTAAGAATAAGGCCAACCACCTGGACCCAACGTAGGGCAGAACGTGCTACACACGTCATACCATAGACATGCCCTCCCCCAGCCTCCCCAAAGCTTGACCTTGACCAGAGAGGGCTTTCCACCACTGCGCTCAGCCTTGTCTCCTTCTGTTCAAGGGGATTCTGGGTGTTTGTCCCATGTTGGGTGGGTGCTGGTTCAGTGCTGTGCAGCGTTTCTCCTCCTAAGACATCCCAGCTTTCATTTCTTTGCAGGGGTGATTTTCATCCTGGAGCTTTCATCCCAGAGGGCAGGAAACACTCAAAGAGACATGGCCCTCACACTTCTATGGGAGATCAGCTGGACTTATGCAAGGACTTAAGCTCAAAACTCAGCTTCCCATCTGCCAAGAAGATGGGGTAGAGAGATACCTGTTAGAAAAATCTGCAGAACTGGGTGCCCAACCTCCAGCACTTTCCAATAGGTGCTGGTGTTTCTGAGCAGGCTCAGTGCACCAGAGTCCTCACGGCTGCTTTCTGGGGCAAAGCAGGGGAAACAAACACCTTGGTAGCTCAGTGTCCCTGATGAAGTCAGCTGGAAGTTCTGCTGTTCATAGACCTCAGGCCCAGCAACTCAGCATGATAGAGGGAAACTGCCAGATCCCTAGAAAACATATGTAAAATCTCCACATGACTATAATGGATATGTTTATTCTGCCTAAATAATAATGAGACCAAAATAGAGACTCTGTTCTTATGAGACATATTTAGAATACACAAACAAAACTCATTAAAGTCATCAATTATCACTCCAGGAACATTTAGTATTGCTCATTTATGATATTTACATACCCATTAAAGTCTTTGCTCAGGACTTCTCCAATGTCACATCTTTCTGCTCATAGTTGGCAACATGTATGTTCTGCTTTGGCTCCTTGGCTCTGTGACACAATTTGGAGTTTAGACTTTGTACGCATCATAAGAAGATTTATAGAAGTTTTGGCAAACCCACTGATTCGGCGGGGCTCACATTCCGAGGCTGCTGCATTCACACAAGCACCGACACATTTCTTGTAGCCTCTGAAGTCCTAATGCCTGTCGGTCTGGTTGGTTAAAGGACAACTCGGTATGGTCCCACAGGAACAAAGTGGAGGAGGAACCTAGAGCTCAGGGTCAACTCGTGTGGTTTTCCCTGACACAAACACCCGTTCTCGAACACCAACTGAGTGTCTTTACACTTGCATGCTGACGCTAATTGCCCAGAAATTGAACAGAACCCACGAGATGAGATGAGCAGTCAATCACAAACAGACAAAAAGGCTGTCCTCAGGCTACCTGCGCTTCTGCTTAGCTGACGACAAATTTAGATGTTCCCACTGTTCTTAAGTTGGACAATTTACTAGAATGACTGATAAAATTATTCAACACGATGACTTCAATTAATTATAATAATTTTACTTTCGAGGATGCAAATGAACAAACACTTGGGAGAGGCGCACATAGCCAGGCCCAGAGAAAACTCCAATAGGCAGTCCAAATATGATCCAGAAATGAGCTCAGCTGGACTATATGAGGACTTCTGGTGGTTAAATAAAAGCCAGCATTCCCCTGGAACTTGTAAAGCTGATTCCCATCTACCAAAAGAAGTCATTCCCCTTAGCTCTGGCTACCTAGGAACATATGGCTACCTGTGGTGCCTATTTGCATATCAAAGCTCAGTCCGGCCTCCAAGCTTCCCTCAGTACCACAAGTACCTGTTACACATTTCAAAGTCCATGCTATGAACCCTGCATGCTACAACCTGGAACTGCCAGACAAGATATGCTCATTGCCAAAATAATGGCATGACTGTTTGGGGTCAACAAACCAGTTTCTTATTGGATTTGAGTTTCTTATTGGATAAGAGGATTCCTTGGTATGATAAACCCAATCAAAAGCGTACATCTGGAGAGGTCACCAACCATGGAGGGAATTTGCTACTGATGCTTTGATAAATAGACATGTAGTCAACCTGCCTGTAAATGTTTATGCTTATACACATAGACTAGTGCCATTCTCAGGCTTTATCAAATGAGCGTCTTTTTGTAGTGGGCAGTGGTTGATGCAGAGATTGACAACAGTCAAAGCACTAAAAATAAGTGATGTTGAATGTCCAGCCCTATAT